CGGAACAGAAGAAGAAGGAGGAGAAGGAAAAGAAGAATGAAGAGGAAGAGAAGAAGAAGAAGACGGAAGAGAGGAAGAAGGAAGTCAAAAAGAAGGAAAACCCCAGGCATCGTAGGGAGAGAAGTAAGGGCGACGCTCTGGTTATCGAGGCGAAAGATAAAACGACATACGCAGCACTCCTCCGGAAAGCAACTGGGCGAGAACGTGGTGAAAACCAGGCGCACCCAGAAAGGCGAGATGCTCTTCGAGCTGAAGAAGGACCCCTCGGTGAGAAGTTCAGCCTTCAAGGAACTCGTCGAAAAATCTCTTGGCGAGGACGCGAACGTAAGAGCCTTATCGCAGGAGTCAGTGGTCGAGTGCAAGGATCTGGATGAGATCACAACGGGAGACGAGGTACGATGTGCGCTGAAGGTGCAAGGCAATCTGGGAGATGTGCCTATGACAATCCGGTTGAGGAAGGCGTACGGTGGTACACAAACGGCGTCGATACGACTTACGACGGACGCAGCTAACGAGTTGCTGAAGACGGGGCGAGTCAAAGTTGGGTGGTCAGTATGCCCCCTGAAAGCTATCCCTCGGGTTACCAAGCAAATGGAGAGATGCTTTAAGTGCATGAACTTTGGTCACCAGGCGAGAAGCTGCAAAGGCCCTGATAGATCGGAGCTGTGCAGGAAATGCGGAGAGAAGAGGCACGTTGCTAAAGACTGTATGAAGCAACCGAGGTGCATGCTATGCAGAAAGAAGGACGGAAACGGTCATATGACGGGAAGTTTCAGGTGCCCAGCTTACAAAAAGGCGATAGCGGGCCAATAGTAATGGAGATAACCCAAATAAATCTCAATCATTGTGACACAGCACAGCAACTGTTGTGGCAGTCGACAACGGAAACAAAGTGCGACGTTGCAATGATTGCGGAGCCGTATCCAGTCCCTCCCGATAACGATAACTGGGTGGCCGATAGAGCAGGGATGGCGGCAATACAAGTTATGGGCAGGTATTCCATACAAGAAGTGGTGACGAGGTCTTACGAAGGTTTTTTGATCGCCAAAATTAATGGAACCTTCGTATGTAGTTGCTATGCACCCCCGAGATGGACAATGGAGCAGTTTCACCAGATGCTAGATGGACTCACCGGGGAGCTCACCGGACGGAGACCAATCGTCATTGGAGGAGATTTCAATGCTTGGGCAGTTGGGAAGCAGATGTACCAACGCAAGAGGTTATAGCCTGCTGGAAGCTCTGGCAAAGTTGGACGTCAGTCTGGCCAACGAAGGAACCATCAGCACCTTCCGCAAAGATGGTAGGGAATCCATTATCGACGTCACTTTCTGCAGTCCGTCGTTAGTGACAAGTATGAACAGGAGAGTGTGTGAGGAGTACACTCATAGTGACCATCAGGCGATTAGGTACAGCTTTGGCCAACGGATACCTATGGCAATGTGGAAAACGAAAGTAAGCAAGCGGAGGTGGAAGACGAAGGCATTCGACAAGGATCTCTTTGTAGAAGCTCTACGGGTAGACAGCAGCGTCCCAGACCAAAGCGCGGAGGAGTTGACCGAATCGTTAGTGAGGGCAAGCGACACAACCATGCCGAGGAAATCGGAACCAAGGAACAGACGGCGCCCAGCTTACTGGTGGAACGAGGCACTTAGCACCCTCCGCGCTAGTTGTCTCCGAACCAGAAAAAAAATCTCTAAAACGGGAGATCAAGCTGAGCAAGTCAAACTGCTTCAAGGAGCTGTGTCGAGACGCTAATGCCAACCCCTGGGGTGACGCATACCGAGTCGCGATGGCGAAGATTAGAGGTCCAACGATGCCCGTTGAAATGTGCCCAGACAAGCTGAAAGTCATCGTGGAGGGACTTTTCCCGAAGCACGACCAAATGACCTGGCCACCTACACCGTACGGCGAGGCAGAGGCAGACAACACCGAAGGTAGACAAGTCTCCAACGAGGAACTCGTAGCAGTGGCGAAAGGACTGAAGACGAAGAAAGCTCCCGGCCCGGATGGAATCCCCAACGTGGCGTTGAAGGCGGCGATCCAGGCGTTCCCGGACATGTTCAGGATAGTGCTGCAGAAGTGTCTGGATGAAGGTCACTTCCCGGACCGATGGAAGATACAGAAGCTAGTGCTGCTGCCGAAACCCGGAAAACCGCCGGGGGATCCAGCATCGTATAGACCTATATGCTTGCTAGATACAGTCGGAAAGCTATTGGAGAAGATCATCCTCAACAGGCTAACGAAATGCACGGAGAGTGAGCATGGATTGTCGGTGAGGCAGTTCGGATTCCGGAAAGGGAGATCAACGGTGGATGCAATTCGGACAGTGGTCGAGAGTGCCGAGAAAGCGTCTAAACAGAAGCGGAGAGGAGATCGATTTTGCGCCGTGATAACGATCGACGTGAAGAACGCATTCAACAGCGCCAGCTGGGAGGCCATCGCCGAAGCACTGCATGGAATGAGGGTTCCTGATTACCTGTGTTACATTATAAGGAGTTACTTCCAGAACCGGGTTCTAGTCTACGAGACGGACATGGGAGAGAAATCAATTCGGATCACGGCGGGTGTGCCACAAGGCTCCATCCTTGGCCCAACGCTCTGGAACGTGATGTACAACGGCGTGCTAACGCTGAAGTTGCCCAAAGGAGTTGAGATCGTAGGATTTGCGGACGATGTCGTGTTGGCGGTAGTAGGCGAGACGTTAGAAGAGGTAGAAATGCTGGCAACCGAGGCGATCGACACGGTTTCCAACTGGATGCAAGGAGCGAAGCAGCAGATAGCCCACCACGAAACGGAAGTGCTATTTGTCAGTAACTGCAAAGCTGTTCAGCGAGCAGAAATTACCGTCGGGGAGAACGCCATAGCATCAAAGCGCGTGCTGAAGTATCTTGGAGTGATGATCGATGACCGGCTAAACTTCAATAGCCACGTCGACTACGCATGTGAGAAGGCGGCGAAGGCCATCAATGCGATAGCCAGAATCATGCCTAACAATTCTGGACAGCAAGCAAGAGGCGTCTTCTGGCTAGTGTATCGTCGTCGATACTGAGGTATGGAGGTCCAGCCTGGGATGCAGCGCTGAAAACGAAGAAGAACCAAAGAAAATTGAACAGTACGTTCCGCCTCATGGCCATGCGAGTCGTGAGTGCGTACAGAACAATTTCAACGGAAGCAGTATGCGTTATCGCCGGTATGATACCCATCGTCATCACCTTGGCGGAGGACACCGAATGCTATATCCGGAGAACTTTATGATTTGGGCGTAATTGCTTTTGTAAACAAACATGTCAATCACTGATTTCTCGCAAATAAAAGAACAATCTCGTGAAAAAATTATACCCAATGATAGAGGAACCATTCATCTACCTGTTTGTGTTGTTAGTTTTTGAGATTGAGCTTTAATTCGCGAAAAATCTTCAAATGAAGTGTTTGTTTACAAAAGCAATTACGCCCTAATCTCGAAGTTCTCCGGATATGCGAAGAGATACCAGAGGAGTTCGAAAAATGGTGAGAACGGAGTCGTTGGTTAAATGGCACACAGGAGTGGGACGCAGCGGAGAACGGTAGATGGACACACAGGCTAATACCGATTCTTTCGACCTGGGTGAACAGGAAGCATGGAGAAGTCAACTTCCACTTGACGCAGTTCCTGTCTGGTCATGGCTGCTTCAGGAAGTACCTGCATCGCTTTGGACACACAACGTCACCCTCTGTCCGGAGTGTGGCAACGTGGACGAAACGTCGGAGCACGTGGTTTTCGACTGCCCAAGATTTGAGGCAGTGCGAGTGGAGATGCCGGCCCTTAGTGCGAGAAATGTCGTCAGTGAAATGTGCCGGGATGAGAGGACGTGGAGCGTCGTCAGCAGGGCAGTGACGCAAATTTTGTCGGAGCTGCAGCGAAAATGGAGACATGATCAGCGAGTTAGCAACGCCGGCTAGCTGAGCTAAAGAGAAGTGCTTGTTGAGCACAGCCCCCCCCCCCCCCGGTTAAATTGTTACTTGGGAAGTGTAGTCCACAAAGACGTAGTTCTACGTCATAAAAAAACAGTAGACACCGCGAGTCCCCTACGAATATGTAGAACCAGCTCCCCAACAATATGGTTTCTAAATATTTAAGTTCCTTTACATGTCAGTCCACTGCTACTTGCAAAACCAAGCTCCACTCTGAAACGATTCCCGTGTTTAATTGATATACAACCACCAATCTAATTGATATTCTTACAGTCAATTTCCACGATCGCTAGCAACGGTGATTTTGAAATGAGGAGCACTTCATCATGGACACGTTCGGTTGGGTTTGCCTCGCTTGATGCCATGCACCCGTCGTCACCCAAAATGGCCCATAATTTATGGATGCAGTTCAGTGGCTCACACATTTGCACCTCGAAATGTAGGTGAAGAGTGGAAAATCACCCATCTAGTGCACAAACACACAGTTTAAATGCCTTTGCTGCGAGGCTCGTTCGATTTCCGATAGGCCACTAGTACCTAGAGCTGTGGTGTAGCATGCAACAGTCAAAACGACCGTCCGTCTGCCATAGTATTGTGTGCGCCAACTAAAATGCGGAGGGCTACTAATAATAATCAGTCGAAGCAAACTGGTGCAACAGAGTGACTGACTGAGTGCATGCAAGTGCAGTGATGAGCATAAGGTAGGTACGTCACATTTCGATTTATTATTTACGGGCGGTTTGTGGCTGTTGGTTTTCCATTAGCACATCATATCATCATGGTTGGCTGATGCCACGCGATGTGTGATGTAATACGGAATCTGTTTGCATTTTGACAGTTACAATAATCCATCAGTGGTTGTGGGGGAGCTGACGAATCCGATGGCAGCGAGGTTTCGCCAATTGTAACACGGAAATCGTTACATTTTATGTAACAACATCTTTAGGAGTCCTGGGATTTATTCACCGACGGTAAAAAAAAAAAAATGTCGTCAACATGCGCTGAAAGGATTTCTTTTATTCGTTCTACTCAAAATTGCAGGAACATGATTTTCGTAAAATTTTATTGTAGTCAGTAATACTTTTTACCACCAATGCTTGTTTTCTTATCTAAATCATTTGAACCAACCCATCCGGCGGTCAACGCAGTATATCCATGTATAACTGTATAATTCTAATCCTATCAATTTGAATGATGTTTCTTGTATATTGACTAGCATCGTAAAACAACGAAATTCCTCCTGGGTTCGCCCATTCTTCACGTGTGGATACTACTCCATATACTATAGCTGTATAAGTAGTAGCTTCCAATCATTTTGATCTTATTCACATTGTTGTTTTCCCGTCTAAGTACAATTCATTAATTACGTCGTGCATTGAAATTTGTCATGCTCGGAATTGATAACGCTATCAAGCATTTAAAATATATAATGCAGTTTAAAACACGCTCAACACTATCAATGTCACAAGAATACTCTTAGCCCGATAGTTACTTTCCTGTACGCTGTAAGAAAACAAGTCCAAGTTGGAGGCTGATGTGCTCAATCAGAATGATCGAAGATGATCATATGTTTTAGCGGCTAAGCTTCCCAACTCGGAAATATTTCCTCAGCGTAAAAGAACCTGAAATATGATACATAAATACCGGATACACTTTGCTAGCTTAAAAATCAGCTCTAAAGATAAAAATCACACAGATTGAGAGTTTCTTGTAGTATAGTTGTTCAGTAGGCTGCCAGTTTTCTTCTTCTATAATTGAACCCTTCTGCTAGAAAAACGATTCCCGCGACAGTCCGGCGTTCATCCGTCGGTATAGTTCCTTGTCCCATGGTGATGAGTTGGAACCTAGTTGCGTTGGAGAACGTTGAATGGTGGGAGAGATTAGAGAGATACAGACGACAGATATAGAGACAGAAGTTCGGTTCGATTCGCTTTAACATTAGGATCACATTCTTTGATTGGTCTCGGTATGGCTCTATTGCTAAATGGTGTGTGCTACACAGGGCTGTCGGGTCATGGTTTACTTGCGGGATGAAGGCGATATGCCTCACACAGTTCGGAACGGATGGTTTAATTCGATGTTTTATTGTTGTGGAATTTCTCGGCGGCCCTCGTGTAAACCATGGCTCCGATAGAATGGACGCTTCGATCTACGGCACAGAAGATGGCAATTACAATCCTAATGGGTTGTGCTTAAGGTCTACGTCTCGTGGCTGATAAAAATGGAACTTTCATTTACGGGGGATTCTAAAATGCTTACTTGGTGTTTACATTTGGTGAACAACAACTAACTGTGCATAAATGCCTATCGCCACGGTCGAAATTCAAATATCAATCTAGGTGTAGCGTGTCAATGTGAAAAGCTTGTGATCGTCTGCGGTCAATCTGATTTTCCGAAAATTGCATTTTTATTAGTTTGTGTCTGTTTGTGTGATGCAATGTTGTCTGCCAATTGTGCCAATTCAAGTGTCCTTGTAGGTAGGGGTAAGCCATCGATTGGAGTTGTTCTTGCCACTACTAGCGCTACCACTACTAACACTAGCGGAACGCTGGAAAAGTCCGAACGCCCGCTTGCGACAGGAACTGAGCCGCCTGGAGCGGAATGGACTTTTCCGGCCTCCACCAACGCCACTACTACCACCAGTGGAGGACAACCTCCCGAATCCCGAATGTTCGTCTGCTTCGTACTCCCCCTTCAAACCCGCCTCCGGTAGAAGCCCGACCAGCGCGGATGGTTCTAGCAGAGATCCTAGCGAGAGTTGGCGAAGCAATCGCTAATCTCATTGGTTCAGATTACCCTGGGCGTGCTGCAGTCCGGAGCACAGGTGCAGCATGATGACGCTCAGCGCCTGGACCCGTTCCTCCGATTGACCGGCGAGAAATGCCGACCGGGTGGCGTCCACTTGCTGGCTGCCCACGGCTAGCTTGTCTTTACCGTCATCTGTGGAAACAAAACGATTGATTATTAGAGGCTCTGTAATGCAGAACTGCTAACAACGCTGGATGACAAACGCTTGAAATCTGCTGTGAATATTTGAAATAGTAGATGTTTAAATCATTCCCTTTTTTAAGGGAAAGCTTAATGCCTTAAACCAAAGATGTTTTGATTTAAATAAAAATATTGGAAAAAGATATCGAAAATCTAAAAAAATATCAGTTTTATCTCCTACTGGTAAATAGTTTTAAAAAATCATCATGGCAAAAAGTTGAACTTAGCGGCGCCGGTGGTGTGTAGTGGAATGCGTGGTTACCTCTCATCCCAGCAGACCTGAGTTCAATCCCAGTCGGCGCCGCCGGGATGTTCTGAGGCATAACATCTCTGCTCACGCCTTCCTTCGGAAGGGAAGTAAAGCCGTTGGTCTCCTATTTATGAGTTGATGGGTCGATAGGTAGGATCCAGGTGTGGGAGCTGCCTCCCTGGCGTCGGTAGCATTGGTGCTCAGCACGGAAAACAAGATCGACGGAAAACAAATCAAGGAAAAAAAATTTGGGCTACAAAAACCGTAAAATCCGACCTTTCGGTTTTGTTTAGAGTCCAGCTTTTTTTTTTCAATAGAAATCATATTCGTACATCAACCTAAATTTTCTTAGAAATCTATGAAAAAACGGATTTTCTTTTTCCATTATTTTAGAAAACAATAATTTATCTCCATATGAAATGCTTTGATTGTAACTGATCAATTTAATCCATTCTTTACAAGATCACTTATTCTGCGCCGCCATGAGTGAGGAGAGGTGACTCGCTGTCACTAGTGAGGTAACAAAAGGTGAGAGGTGACAAAAGTCAACACGTGTGAGGTGACTCTCCGTACAAATCACATCAAATGATACCAGCAGAGAAATTCAAAGACGCATTATGGCAGGGAATCGTGCCTACTTTGAACTCTGGAGGATGCTTTGGTCAAATAAAATTCACCGCCGCACGAAGTTGACTGTCTGTAAGACGCTGATTAGACCGGTGGTCCTCTACGGCCACGTGACCTGGACTATGCTCGTGAAGGATCAACGCGCCCTTGGTGTTTTCGAACGGAAGGTGTTGCGTTCCAGCTGCTGGGAGAACCATCCATCGCCCACATTGCAAAAAATGGGCGACTAAGGTGGGCTGGGCATGTCGTAAGAATGCCGCACGACGACCCAGTGAAAATGGTTCTCGAAAGCGACCCAACAGGAACAAGAAGAAGAGGCGCGCAGCGGGCAAGGCAAGTAGAAGGCGACCTGCGGGGCCTTCGCAGCCTTCGAGGCTGACGAAGTGTGGCCATGGATCGATTAGAGTGGAGACGACTTCTTCGGACAGCAGTGGACAACAAGGCCTTAGCGTGATTGCTAAGGTAAGTATGTTCTCCAATCACAACCTTTTTTTCCATTTAAGTTTATCAAAATCGGCAGCAAATGAATCTCGAACCAGGTCTCAAAAATAGCGCTATCTAACCAACCACTTGAAGAGTTGTTGTATCTCGTTCCAGCTGGTCCGTTGTCAACACAGGTACAGGTGTTCCAGAGTTTCGCAAATTTATAGACCATATATGGAGGGAGTACTTGTCATGCCGCACTACGTGCTATAATAAGTGAGATGCAGCTCTTTGACGAGTTCAGTATGTTTCCCGGATACTTGACACCTCTCCTTACAATGCACTTCCGTGAGCCAGGGTCGTCTGTAAGGTTCGTTTAATCGTAATTCCAGATGTTTTTTGGAGGAACGTCGTCCGTCACCTTTGACAAATTATTGATGTAATCTGTCAGAACTTCGGACAGCTCAGGGATCCGAATCAGAACGATTTGGTCCAATCTCGAACAGGAAAATTTCCCTTGAAACGAGCAACCGTTCTACCAATTTTGAAGAGATAGTCCTTGACGATATGCCGCAAATCTTCTTCGTTCACTGGAAATCCGCTATCACTCATAGTTACTACACATTTCACAAAGATTTCCTCTTTTTCTGGTGAAAATTTAGGCTGACCTCCAATGCCTTTGCTACGCTTTCAGGCCGCTACGGAATTTCAAGGGCATGGGAAGATTTGTTTACAAAAAGCTGATATGCCCTTTTCGCATGTTGTTCTTGATATGGGAGACGGCTTGCATAAAGGGCTCCTTTACCTACTATGAGCGCTTCTTGTATGTCTTTAACCTTAGCATTACGCGCGCTTTAGAATAGACGAGTTGTCAAGACGTAGGCCTGATGAACACAAGGTTCATGTTTCGAGTCCCGGTCCGCAGCGTTTTTTTGTAATTTTATAATTTTAAAATTTTACTCCGTGCACAAACCCATGGACATTGGCATTGTCTTCTTCTTCATATTCGCATTTCAAGCTTATTGCTTAGCGCATATTAGCTTATTGCGTGCTCTCTGAAGGAGTACAAGCAACCCATGATTGAAGCTACACCTATCATTCGATCACAGTAGGCTTATGTAGATAGATAAGAAATATATGTCATTAGATTTCGCACTCTTGAACAGATCGGTTCGTTTTACTGCCCGCTAATAGCTGCCAGCTAGTAACCATCGGGACCGATCAACAAGCTGAAGATATGTTTCAAGATTCCATGAACCGGTTCGGAATTCCCAAGCTTAATGGAAGAAATTACGGAACCTGTAAGATCAAGGTCGAATTTCTGCCTGTGGCGGTATGTGACCGGAACGAGACCAACGGCGAGCGCTGCGACTTCCGGATCGACTGCTCCAACCGCAGGCGCTACTGCAGCGGAAATCGAAGCGTGGGACACCGGAGACCAACAAGCGCATTCCACGATTAGGCTATTTCTGGAAGACAGTCAATTGCAAAACGGCGAAGCAAACCTGAGAGGCTCTCCGGGACCGCAACGAGAAGGTGACGCTAACTTCCAAAGTGTCATTGCTGAAACAACTATGCGACAAGCGGTATGCTGATGGCGAGGACATCGGGCAGCACGTGTGCTAGATGGAAGACCTCTTCGAGCGACTGCCGTTGGCGGGCCAGGCATTGAACCGTAATTTGCAGGTGGCAATGGTGCTACGAAGCTTACCCGAATCCTTCAACACGCTCACGACGGCGTTAGAGACTAAGTCCGACGACGACATGAGCCTCGAGCTGATCAAGTCCAAGCTAACGGACGAGGTGGCCAAACGGGGAAACGGAGGATACGGCGAATGCGTGCTCAAGGCTGATTCTGCGAAGAAGAAGACTCTGGTTTGTAACTACTGCCAGAATCCGGGTCATAAATTGAAGCAGTGCAGGGCTCTGATACAAAATCTCAGCTACAAGGTGAAATCGAGTGAGCGGCACGAAAAGCGCCATAATCCAAAAGCGAAGGAGGCTCGTCAAGACTCCAAGGACAATGCGTCGCAGGATTTTATATTCTTGGCGTCGATGCGGACAGTTTCATCGAGCTGGAAAAAAAACCCGTGAAGCAGGGCGTCTTTCTGGCGGATGGCAAGAAGATAACCACGGAAGGAGTTGGTTCGTGCAGGATGATCTGGGTGTCTCCAGAGGATGAACGCAGCACTGTTCTCCTCTCGGATGTAATGTACGTCCCGCAGTTCGAGACCAACCTCATATCGGTGAAGAAACTTTCAGCCAAAGGAGCCAAGTTCGTGTTCGACGCGGATGGGTGCCGTATCGTTAAGGACGACAAGGTGATTGCAGGCACAACCACTTCAGGGGGACTGTACAAAATGCGGACTGAGTATGCTGCGCTGCAGGTGAGTGAGCCCAACCACAATTGAGAGTGTTTGCCCACTTGGCATCGTATCCTTCGGCATCGTGAGCCAGATGCGATTCGTGATTTGGAGACGAAAGGACTAGCATCGGGAATCCACTTCGAAGATTGCAGATGTTACGGTACTTGCGAGTGTTGCCTGGAAGGGACACTGGCCCGTCTACAATTTCCAAAGAAATCGAAGCAGACGCTGGAAATTAACCATACGGACGTGCGTGGACCGATGCGGACGCCGACACCAGGCGGTTGTCGTTACTTCCTAACGATGATGATGACCACTAGTAGTATATTTTCATAAACAGAATTTGGAAGTTACTGAGTGGATCAAGGTGTACGTGAAGTTTGTCAAGAATTTTTCGAAAGAACGCCCAAAGTGATTCGGTCAGACAATGGTGGTGAGTACCAGAATGAAGCCCTCGACCGTTTCTGCCGCCAAGAAGGTATAAGCCAGCAGTTTACCACAGCGTACACCCCGCAGCAGAACGGGGTCACGGAGCGTAAGAATCGTTCTTTGGTGGCATGATTCTGGTCGCGCAGCTGCCGTACATGTATTAAGCTTCAGTAAATACGGCCACATACCTTCAAAATCGTTTGCCAACCAAGCCCATATCGCATACACCGTACGAGCTCTGGACTGGAGAGAAGCCTGATCTCAGCCACCTCAAGATTTTCGGTTCGTGGGCTTACGTGTGGATTCCATCCGAGAAGCGTTCGAAATTGGAGGCGAAATCCAAGAAGATGCTGTTTGTGGGCTATTCACTGCATCATAAGGCCTACTGTTTCATCCCGAGACGCACAGAATGATCACGAGTAGAGGTAGTCGCTTTCAGACACATCGGGAGGTTCCCAGGGAAGTATCGTTTCATATCCTTTTACTGAAATTTCTCCGACGATTCGTGGCAAAGCTGATGATTGTCCCGTTTTTACAGCACCTGAGTAAGACGATGATGATGCTTCCGTAGCAACGGACTCCGAGGTGGATGATGATCAAGACGACACAATCCATCCAGGTGACGCAGTACCACAGGCTACCGAGGGACAGGAGGAGTTTGGCACTACCACAAACGTTCGCCGATCCAGCCGCGCGAACAAAGGAGTCGCGCCACAGAGGTTCTTGTGTGTCCAGGAGTACTGCGAGCCCCGTTCGTTCGAAGAGGCGATGAAGTGCCCGGAGCGAGATTTGTGGAAGCGCGATATGGAGGAAGAGATCCAATCGTTGCACGAGAATGGCACTTGGGAGGTCGTTCCTTTGCCCAACGATCGCAAACCTGTTGGCTGCAAATGGATGTATAAAAGGAAGATGGACGGTGATGTCACCCAATAGAAGGCAAAACTTGTCGCACAAGGATTCAACCAACGATACGGTACCGATTATGACGAGGTTTTTGCCCCTGTCGCGAAGCAGACTACCTTCCGCACGCTGCTCGATTGCCGCCAAGACGAAGCTACTCGTGAAGTACGTGGACGTAAAATCGGCCTACCTGTACGGGACCTAGCCGAAACCATCTACATGAGGCAGCCGCCTGGATTCTCGACCGGTACGAAGAGCGACGTGTGCCTGCTGCGAAAAAGTTTGTACGGGCTGAAGCAGGCAGGACGAGTATGGAATCAGCGAATCACCGAAGTACTGCAAAGCTTGGAGTACGTGTCATCGGAAGCAGATCCTTGTCTGTTCGTGAGGACGAAGCATGGTCGTTCGTCATTTGTACTGCTTTACGTGGACGACATGCTTATAGCTTGCCAGGATGAAGCGGAGTACAGAAGAATCGAAGCGACACTGAAGAAGCACTTCAAGATAACCACCCTCGGAGAAGTTAGCAACTACCTTGGTATTCGTATTGAGCGAGGACAGGATGGACGATTCCTGTTGGATCAAGCCTCTTATATCCGTAGAATTACTGCAAGATTTGGATAAGCAGACGCCAAACCATCCCGTATACCAATGGACCCAGGTTACCCGAAGCAACAGCAAAAGGAGGAGAAGCGAATGCCACGGAAGGACGATTTCCAGTGCTTATTGGGTGCTTTGCTGTATGTTGCGGTAAACACGCGGCCCGATATTGCCATCAGTGCGCCCATTCTAACCAGGCTGACTGGACCGAAGCCAAGCGGACACTGCGGTACCTTATGTCGACTGCGGATTTGAAGCTGGAGCTCGGTGGACCTGGCCAACTGCTAGCATACGTGGATGCTGACTGGGCCGAAGATTGTCAAGACCGCAAATCAAACTCGGGCTTTGTTTTCCTCTGAGCGGACCGATTTCCTGGGCTGCTCGGAAGCAACAGTGTGTAGCTCTTTCGTCTACCGAGGCGGAATCATTATCAGCGAAATCACAACATCAAATTTAGATTTCAATTTGATTTCAGACTTTGCTCGGGAAGATAATCAGAGCTGCATAGCAATGCTGCGAGCTGCAGGAGGTAGTCGAAGAACCAAGCACATCGACACGCGGTTCAACTTCATCCGAGACTTGGTAAGCAACAACGTAATCCAGGTTGTATTCTGCCCTACCGAGTCCATGGTCGCCGACGCCTTGAACAAGCCGCTGGGGAGAGTGAATCTTGAGACTTGCCGGAAGGAGATGGGACTTCAATCGATACAGCATGAGGAGGAGTGAAGGAGTACAAGCAACACATGGTTGAAGCTACACCTATCATTCGATCACAGTGGGCTGTATGTAGATAGATAAGAAATATATGTCATTAGTTTTCGCACTCTTGAACAGATCGGTTCGTTCTACTGCCCGCTAATAGCTGCCTGCTAATACTCTCAACAATACTCTATGCCCAGGGAAGTCGAGAAAATTTCCAACCCGAAAGATTCCGTCGACCGGAACGGGAATCGAACCCGCCGCCTCCGACTTTGTAATACCGTGCCTTTACTGACTAGGCTATGAGGCCCCATGTGCAAACATCTGCGAATACACTGGTGTAGCGATAGAAGGGGCATAGTGAGCATACCGCACTTTGGCTCTGGATCTACAGCTGCATGAAACAAATCAACTGGTAGTAGGTTCAATATCATTATGATATTGATCCTACCACCAACTAATTTGTTCAGAACGGGCGGAAGACCAAGCTGGGCATGGGATGCTCACTATGCCCCTCTTACTCCTACATCGATACACCCGAGTGTATTGTATGAGTTGTACCTGTGTACAAAATTGCGCGTAAGTTCAAGCTGAACATTCGCTTTGATTTTTGTGCACAAATTCAACATGGTACTTATGCATTGTTTGCTCGTCGTGTTTAACGAGGCAGTTGACGTCGTCGGGTTTGAATGGTTATATCCGGTAGTTGCACGAGTACTGGAGTTTAACGTTTTTCCCTTAACATTTGATACTTTGCGGAAAGCGGAAAAAATGTCATGACATTTCTAAACTGTTTTCTGCAGGCGACCGAACATTTTCGCACAATGAAGCAGACAATGGTCGGAGCTTGCGACATAAATTTATATCATGTGAAATTTTGCTGATTTCCGGCTAATTATAAGATTAGGTTAGAATGAATACTAACCACCCATAAGCATAGATGTTAAAATTATGCGTAAATATGGGAGTTGATAATTTACTGTTACACGCAAGGTTGCAGCTAAAATGTAATTTCAATAAACTTAGTTGAAGATGCTAATTTCAAATAACATACCAAAATGGTAATTTTTATGCGATAGATGAGGAGATGAAAATATAGAGTTGATAGTTTCGTTAGAGTACGGCAGTGTGAAAATTGTATATAAAGAATAGAAAGCGAGCAAGGATAACATTTAAGGAAGGTACAAATCGGTTTGATAATCTCTCTTTACCAAACTCCCCTGTTGGAGAGGGAGGTGAGGGGTATTCCGCTGCCCCGCCCGCCCGCGCTATTACTTTCTACTTACCCCAAGGTCCACGGAAATTGTTTTTCAGACTAGTCAAGTGAGTTGAACAACAAAAATACGTATCATGTCTAATAACGATCTTAAACCATGTTTTATTTAAAAACCTTGCTTCTAATAGGCATTATATTGTTGAAATTTAAACACAAGCGTCATAGTTCCAGAAGATAAACCTAAATGAGTGTTTGAATTTCGGCACAATCCTCTGCATTGCAACTCAGAAGTCTATTTAGAATTACTATAAAATTTACACAGGTCACATTTATTAAAACAATTCCAAAAATACACCATTTTTTCCGCAGGCCACAAAACTCACCTGTTGCTACGCCTTCCTTGGTCGCGCTTAGCGACGACTGGTTGAGCGTTTCGCAATCCAATGCTATATGCAGCTTGGAAAGCTGGAAAGAGATTACCGAAAAGACCCACATGAGACATAATCGGAACCACTCGGGAAGCAACAACGGCGGCGGCAGGGATTCTCACCAGTTTATTGATATTCTCCGTTCGCACGTCCGGTTCGTGGTCTGCGTAGATCGACTTGCTCGTACTCTTGGCCAGGGCCATCAACGAATCCGAAGAACCATACTCAATCAGCGGTGCCGTCAACTCGACAATCTGATCCATCTGCAATTCCTTGAGGTCCTCCGGTAGACTTTCGAGCTTTTGAGCAACGATCACAAACGGGTTTGCGTTCACGTTCGCTAGCGACTGCTTCCGAGGCGTGTGCTGCGGCGTGGGAGGTAAACTCTTACTGCTCTGATTCAACGACGATACCATCGGTATCGATAGGTTGTTGACCGAATTCACCCGTTTCAAACCTTGCGCCAGCAAATCGCTGAAACTCTGTCTATGGCATTCCAACCTAGACTTTGCCTGCTGCTGCTGGTGCTCTTCAACAATGTCCACAAAGTCATCCACTTCAATAGACGGCGAATCGGCTTCCGTCACACGGAACTCCGGTTGCCCTCCAGACGGTAGTGCAGGTTCGTTTGCAGAGCAAACCGTCGAGCTCTGACACTTGCTGATGCACTTTTTGTGACAACACATGGCACAGTCCCGACATTGGAATGCGTCCTTGAGCCAAATCTTTTTACCACAATAATCACACTGAGTAGTCCGATGGAAATGGGTTCGGATGAAGTCATGCGGCTGCGAACCAGGTTGCACCTTGGACGTCTCGGAAGTGCCATCAGTTTTGTCCTCGTCCGCTTTGTCGGTGGATCCTTTGCTAATGGTGATAAGCTTGAGCTTCTTGATATTTTCTGTACTACTTTTGATGGAAACAGAGTTAGCGACGAGTGAGCCACTCCAGACGAAGGACAAAAGAACGTCACCGTAGCAGTAGTTCTGATCGAATCCTGACTGCATGGAAAGAGGATGGTTGGATCTGAAATGGTGCATAAGGTCAGCTTTCTAGACTTAGTAAAATTTAAAAGAAGCCATGAAACACTTACACATCAACTGCCTCCGGTGGCAGTAAAGGATATTTCTTTAGATGATGACCCAGAAGAGATTCATTGCATTCCATGATAATACTGTTCACGGGAATGTTCAAATATCCCAGCAATCGATGTTCATCGCTGCTCTTGCCAAACACATTTACGTTCAGGTAGGAAAAGTTGTCCATTAGTTGGAAGCTACACAAATCACCCATCCGAATGAACGAATTAAACTCGCAATCCATGGACGAGTGCTGCGGAAAACCGTCCAATGGTACAGCGGTATCACTGCCTCGTGCTTTGAGTGGAATAGGTTCTTCCTTTTTCTGATCTTTAGAAACTTCCGACCGCTTGACAGGCGTCGTCCCCGGCGTGTTGGATTGACTGGACTCTCCTCCGCTCTCCTTGGAGTTTTTGCGCGACAATCTGGGTTTGTCTTTCGTGCCAGCACCAATCTGAACCATTTCTACATTCTTCGTGAATGTAATGTTCAAGTTGGGATCAATTTCTTCGTAATCTTCGAGATCGTCGAGAATCCCATCGTTTCTGATCGTACCAGGAACGATTCGCTCGATTCGTAAAATAAACATAGGTCTGTTGAGGGTTTTAATGATTTTGGCAACCTGATTGATGGTTGTGACGCGTTTCCCCTGGATGGAGAGCAACACATCACCGCGCTTCAGTTCGGCCTTCGAGGCCGGGGTATTTGGAATGACGGCTTCTATGATGACTAGCTGATCGGATTGTTTGAATACTATTCCGATCTGTTGATTTTTGGCTTTGTGAATTTCCAAATCCAGTGATACGATTAAATTATTGTCGTCCTGTTGCCGTGCCAGCACCCAGGGCATGTGTGCCAACGTCACCGTACAGTAGACATGGGATAACCGAGTCGGTGCGTTCAATCGGGATATTTCCTCTACAATAACCTCCAGCGATCCGGAGGGCGAGATTTCATTGAGATCGTAGTCTTCCTCGACGCGGTTGAAGAATGGCTTGTATCTACGGAAATCAAAAAATTAAGGAATTGATTTAAGAACATAGATCATACAGTTACCTTAGCTTATAATTTGGCAAGGTGTGTTTCCGTCGGATCGCTTTGCGGATCTGGTTCGAGATCAGGCTCGTCACGTTGGATTGCATCTGGCGGCCCTGGAATTGGGACTGAACTTCCAAATTGACCGTGGGATCACCGACGAAGCTCAAAGACCAGTGGGTGTACGGTTTGCGGGTGAACTGCAGTCGAGCGATTCCGGAAACTTGTTTCACTGCAAAGGGAAGGTTGTAGAAATTGAGAGTAATGAGAAATTCTGTTTGAGTTAAGAATGTCAATCATTTTGGGGAGTCTCCTTTAGCTCAGTCGTTAAAGGCTCAGCTACAAAGCAAGACTATGCTGGAGGTGGTTGCGGTTGGTTTCGATTCCCGGTGCGGTCTAGGAATTTTTCGGGCTGGAAAATTTCCCCAATTTTTTCGGGCATAGAGTAAGATTGTACTTGCCACACAATTATACTAATGCAAAAATGGTACAGGCATCGAAAGCTCTCGATAAATAACTGTGAAAGTGCATCTAGAACACTAAGTTGAAAGCACGCAATAAGCTAATATGCGATGAGCAATAAGCTTGAAATGCGTAGAAGAAGAAGCATAAGAAGAAGAAGTCAATAATTTTGAATCAATGAAGCATTGAACATCTCGAGGTTTCAAAACACAGTTTTCAGACAAGAGATCCAGTTGCTCACGGAATGCAATGTTTCGATGATTGTGGAGCTTTCTGGAATTCCTGGAGATAGAAAAAAAAATGAGAAGCTGTCAGATGTTTTGGAATTTCTCAGAGTACTAGAATTTCCCGAAGTTTTGCTTAGCATGTGTTAAAGTTGCGTTGCGTTTGTAACGGAGTAAGTTGCATACTGCCAATGCTGATTGCTTATAGAAAACTATTTGGGAGTGTTCAAAGTTTAGAACAGGAAAAGCATGACAATTATCAATGCCGGCCACGCCCATCTGCTTCGTTACGGAATTTGATAGAGTTCTCAGGAGTTTCTTGGAGTTCCAAGCAGTTCTTGTATTCGTAGGAATTTTCGCAAGAAGTTTAAGATAATCGGAGTTTAATGAAGTTTCCAGTAGGGATTGAAGGCAGAATCTCATTCGGGGTAATAGCGTTCGTATAAGTGACATTCGATTGAAAGATCCGGAAATTTTCAAAAGAACTACTTGGAGTGTTGGAGTGTCAAAGAACTCTTAGTTCGCTGGAAGTATAGAAGCCTAAGAATTGGTGGAAAATTTGCAGATTTCTCTGAGCACCAAAATTCTGGAAAGGTACAAGAGCTCTTTCGATTGCTTGAGTTCCAGAAGTTCCGGCAGTTTAAACGTAATTTAATATTCTATGAGTTCTATAGTTTTTGCACTCGTGTAGTACCAGAACGTTCTGAAATTTCCACAAGTTCTGAACGATGCTGGACAGCAAGAAGTTTTTGGAGTTCTTGATATACTGGCTGATTTGAAGGTTCTCAAAGTACCTAATTTTGACGTAGATCGCAGAAGTTGCCGGAGTTCCATAAACATCCTGAAAATCTGTGAGTTGAACACAATCTAAATATTCCGGAAGTGGAAATATTGAATATTTTTGTGAAATCAGAATTTCTTGAAGTTTCCTAAAGTTATAGAACCTCAAAGAGTTTCGAGTGTTCTTACAACTTGTTCCCAACAGTTTTAAGTTTTGTTTACATTCCAAAAGTTCCTTTGCTGGAGAACGAGAATTGTTTTAAATTCAAGACACGATTGGAAGATCTCAAGATGTTGAAATTTTTCGGCGTACCAAAGAATTGTTAGAGAAACAAGAATTTAATAGTTATCGCTCAGCTTTTGAGACGTGCAGACCTTTTTCTCGATTACGCTTATCACTAGTGAAGCATTTACGTTTTGGATACCCTTCTATTCGCTGCGCCACGTCGCGTGCAAAAGTGTTTCGCGATGAGGCGAGAAAACACTTTTAAGATTGACTATTCGCAGTTCTCCGTCAAGCCGTCGGTCGAAACATTCTATGGTGTTTGTCGTTCGGTTCTCGGTCTAAATAGGGAAGACATTAAAAGGCTTCAGTGCCACAGAGATGGAGCATGTGCCTTCGTCAAAGTCAGTGACTTGACGCTGGCACAAAAAGTCGTTGACGAACACGACGGGAAGCATGAAGTGGAGTGTGAGCGGAAGAAACACAAGCTTCGGATCACGTTGGAAGATGGTAGTGTTGAAGTGTGGGTTTACGACCTTCCCGAATATGTGAAGAGAAAGTCTTTAGAAAGTGCGTTCGGGGTAGTGATCTCGAGGTATCGTGGGGTGAGAGCAACGAATGTGAAGGCATACCGCTCGGCATATGGTCTGCTCGTATGCTAGTGAAGCGGAACATTGGATCGTGGGTCACCGTCCATGGAGAGCAAGCGTTCGTTGTTTACAAGGGACAGCTGCAATCCTGCCGCCACTGCAAAGAGCAAGCGCACACTGGCATATCATGTGTCCAGAACAAAAAGCTACTGTACCAGAAAAGCTACGCGAATGTCACGAAGCAAACTGGACAGGCCAATAGGTCAACAACCGGTCAGCAACCCAAAAAAGCTGGTGTGAAACTACCAAACACGAAACTAGTCGGTCAAAAATCCACTACTCCGCCATCGTTAGAGTCAGACGTTTTCCCCGAACTGCCGAACAGCCAGAGTGAATTCTCAGGCCCAAAAACACACACACGCAGCCAGCCTGCAGAAGGTTCTGTGCAAATACAACGAGCGCACAATGCGAACAGTTCGTTCGTAACACCACCACAAGCTGTCGTAGTTATGGATGACGTGTTCAAAAAGCCATAAAATGCGCTGCGATCGCAGAGCAGATGCGGCAACGGGAACGAAACCGATGAATCCTCGCCTTCCATGAGCAGTAGACGAAGCCGAGGAAAACGAGCCGGTAAAAAACCCCGCCGGGATCACGATGGAAAATACATAGGTGCCACAGTCGGAAGAAGTGTTAGTTTGTTTACTTAAATGAACCATGCCCATTTTGTTATGGCATGTTTGCTATAAGAAATGCGCATCGTGTTTTTTAGCGAATTTCACATCAAAGATTGATTGATTGAGTAGGAAATCAGTTTGGCACGGCATTTGTGACCAGCATACACCTTCCGGTAGTATGAAACAGGTCAAAAACTGTTCAAATCCGCAGATAAAAATTTTTGTTTTGAATTTCTGTATAGCAAAATAGTGAACTTTTCGTGAACATTAACGGCAAAGAACTCACCAACACTGGGAGACTGTGAGTTCCTGCCCACCTGTCATTTTCCATCGTGCGCCGGGATGACGCCGACGACGAGAGGGACGAGTACAATCGCTTATAAATGGCTCTCACGTCGTACAACATCTCTTCCATCAACATCGGCACCATCACGAGCCCCACGAAACTGAACGCGCTCCGAAAACAGCCATAGCCATGTGTCTACAAGAAGTAGAGAACGAGCTGCTCTCCTTGCCTGGCTACGTCGTTTTCTTCAATGTGGACCATACGAGAAGGAGAACAGCTATTGCCCTGAAGGAACACATCCAGGCCACTCACATCGAGAGAAGCTAGGAAGGCCGACTGCTTGCGCTGAGAGTGCAAGACACAACGATCTGTAACGTTTACGCTCCCTCCGGCTCTTCGCTACGTGCAGCTCGGGAGAACTTCTTCAATGGGACGCTTGCCTACTATCTCCGCCATTGGCCGGCGATTTCAATTGCGTGCTTCGAACAAGTGATTCTAGCAGCCCAAACACTAGTCCCGCCCTCAAAACAGCCGTCCAGCAGCTGCAGCTCTACGACGTATGGGAGAAGCTGTGTCCGCGTGATCCAGGTTTTAATGTACGTCTGCCGTAACGCACAGTCGCGACTCGATCGCATTACGTGATTTGCGCGATCACCTGCGAGCAGCACATGGACACGTTTGCTCATTTACCGACCACAAAGCGCTGGTACTCCGACTTTGCCTCCCCCATCTTGGTCAATAGCATGGCCGTGGGTTTTGGTCCCTTCGGCCCTATCTATGGCTCCTGGATCGAATAGTGGATTTTGTTCGCTAAGCCCAAGATCAAAAGCTTTTTCAAGTGGAAATCTCTGCGTAACCGCTCATCTTTCAATGAGAGTGAAGAATACTCCAACCGATGGATATTCGATTTCGCTAAAAAGGTCTGTCCGGACTCAGTTCCAGCACAAAATATTCTTCGAGAAGCGTCTCCTAGCGGCGGCTCTCTGGATAGACCATTCTCAATGCTGGATTTCTCTATGGCTCTTCTTTCATCGAACAACTCCTCACCGGGAAGCGATATGATTAAATTCAATCTTCTGAAAAATCTCCCAGATATCGCTAAAAGACGCTTGCTAGATGTATTCAATTCCTTGCTAGAAAACAACATTGTACCGCCTGAATAGCCATTAAAAAACCTGGCAAATCAGCGTCTGACCATAACTCATACCGTCCGATTGCTATGCTTTCGTGCATTAGGAAATTGTTGGAGAAAATGATCCTTCGGAGACTCGATCAGTGGGTCGAAACAAATAACTTGCTATCAAATACACAGTTTGGGTTCCGCAAGAGCAAAGGAACAAACGATTGTCTAGCGCTGCTTTCCACAGATATTCAACTGGCCTTTGCGCACAAGGAGCAATTGGCTTCAGTATTCTTGGACATTAAGGGGGCTTTTGATTCAGTTTCCATTGAAATTCTGTCAGACAATCTGCACAGATGTGGACTTTCTGGAATTTTAAATAATTTCTTGTACAATTTGTTGTCAGAAAAGCAAATGAACTTTTCTCTTGGAAAACTGACAACTTCCAGAATTAGTTACATGGGCCTGCCCCAAGGCTCATGTCTCAGCCCTCTTCTTTATAACTTTTATGTCAAAGATATCGACAACTGTTTGGCAGAACAATGCACGCTAAGACAACTTGCAGATGACGGTGTGGTTTCCGTAAGAGGTCCACATGCCGTGGACTTGCAAGGACCATTGCAAAATTCCTTAGATAACTTGTCTTCTTGGGCTATGAATCTAGGGATCGAATTCTCACCGCAGAAAACTGAACTGGTAGTGTTTACTCGAAAGCGGTACCCAGCCCAAATGCAGCTTAATCTTTTGGGCAGAAACATTACCCAATCATTGTCTTTCAAGTACCTTGGGGTCTGGTTTGATTCAAAGTGCACTTGGAATGCCCATATTACGTATTTGAAGCAAAAATGTCAGCAGAGGATCAACTTTCTC